GAACAGATTTTGCGCATACAGCAGCAGTTTATTCAAGCCTTTCACCAGCAAGCGCTGCAGCGCACGGACTATCATAAGCTTAACGCCTGCAACCAACTTGGCGCTATGTAGTGATATAATTTACCAGTACCTTGACAACCCTTGCAATATTAATTGTGGTTTCTGGACTGTTTTATTATGGATAGAACACGTATGCACCGTTATTTATTAATAAATTTCAGTGCTTTAAATATCAGTTTTCTAAGATACAGTACGTGATATATTACGGCTAAACTTAGATAAAACACGGCAAATAAACAATCATTATGTCTAACATCCCTTGCATAAAACACAAAACATGTATGTTTTACAAAACATTTTACACGGATAATGTAAATGACGGAGCATTAATTGCCTGGGATAGCATTACGAACCGTTTGTTTAGCAAAAGCAAATTGCGGTCACTGCCCACAACAAATTGTACGGACCTACTCTCTCAAACTTTTAGAAATACTGTATTTCATTTTGTGAAAACCTTGCCACTGTTTCCGTTGATTTTGGAGACGAAGATGCATGTGAAAATGTTATATTTGTACATGTTGCGTATCAAAGATTAGAGCAAGACACCAACTGCACTGCATGAATGTACTACTGGAATCTGAAGCTGTATGCCTCACATTCCACCAGACCACAGAAAATTGAAAGCCTCTTTTAGTTTTCGCATCATTGCTAAGAATAAAAAAGGCAAACTATCACAAATGATGACGGAACTGTTAAACCATGAGGGACCTACGGTATATGCAATTACTGAAGATTATCAAAGTACATTCCGACTTATTTGCAAGAGAATGTAAAAAGCATGTCATGCGTTATTGTTTAATGTAGCAAACAATTGCATTGTGTTGGAGAAGCAAAGTTAAATAGCTTGTGTTGGAACATTGCGCGTCAGTCAGAAACCGACTAAAATATTTGCACAATACTAGGCTTTCTTAAATTATTCTTAGCAAATTGTGTGTACCTGGGCAAATATCACTTGCAGTTTGCTGCATGCTTAGACACTTGTTGACAACTGTATCTAAGTCAAACAATCCCAGTATTGAAAGCGAAACAACTTACTATTGCAAATAAATTGGTTATATATAGTAGCAACTCATATTATCAAGTGATATTATGTTAAAAAGCAGTTGCATATATCCTGTGTGTTTAAGGAAATACATACCTTAATTGAAATGCAGACCGTAAAATAATACTAGTCAAGCCATATGTTTGTCAGTATTTATAAGTTCATGATTCAAAAACACGAAAATGTTGTTTTTGATGCTCAGATGATAAGTATTATAACAAAGGAATGATGGGAAAAATTTAACTAATGACATGTGTTGACAGTGGCTGCTCTCAACGCGTCTATTTTTAGATAAGAACCCATGTAAAATTAGATTCTTTTATTAAAGAAATATATTATAAAAAAAAGCTCTCCTAAACATTTTTATTTAAACCATTTTACCGCGTACAAAAATGCTAATTTGACTTTTGTTCAAAAATCCTATTCATATCCATCAAAACATATGCTTGGGATTTTCGTATTTGAGCTGTTTTTAACGTTGCATTTTACTGACAATTTTCGGAGCTGATCAGCTCACATCATGCAAAACATTTGACCTATAACATATGTTTCATTCAAACACAAAATTTGGATTTGTGCGTATGTCGATGCAGTGAATATGTAAATCTATGTTCAACGATATATGTATATATATGTATATATTTTGAACTTCATTGAATGAAGAACTGTACAATCTACCAAAATTATTAGGTTACCACTTTAAGTGAGTATATTATAATGAATTACTCAACATCAGAGCTTGCAAATACGACAAGGAAAGTTGGTGAAAGAAACAGTAAATAAAGTTCGTCAGCGGTACTGTCTCAACAATCACTGTAGTAAATACAATTATAAATGTTACGGTAAGCTGATGCTATAATATTATAAAAAATTACGAGTGCCTCAGGAGGAGCGAGTTTATTTTGCATTTTGAGTTTTCCCACCAAGAGTTATTAGGTTAAGTATTCCATTGTTTAGTTTGGTGTTTGCTGTTTGTTTCTACCTGGCAACAAAGTCATAACAGCACTTAAATTGCCTCAACAATATTTTGGAAAAGACAAATGCTATTTTTAATTAGGAGAAGTAACTTATTTCATGTAATATCCTGCAAATAGTACTGTACCTTGTAATTACATAAACTGCTAAATGCAATATGACACGATTCGTTCAGTTACATATGCGAGAAATGAAGCCTCCAAAGGTTGATCATGATGACCACCTAAACAAGTATGAAGCACAATCTCATCGGCGTAATATACATATTTTAAACAACATATCAACGAAAACCAAAGCTGATTTCGAAGCTAGGTAATTTCTTGCTTGTACAAATATTCGTAATAATATTTGTTAATCGATTAATCTCTAATTTACAAGCTGCCTTTTCAATACACTTGAAGTTGATTAGAACGGTTTAATTGATCAGCTATCCAATGTAATTTGTTCTGGAAAGTAAACTAGGTCATCTAAAAGATCAAACACACAACAGAACATCTGACTCATTTAACAGAGGTGAAATTTATCACGTGCATTTCAGATTTGATGTATGTAAATTAAACAATTCTTGAAGTTACTTTGGAAAAGTACAGTGTGCCTATGATGTGATTATGTTTCAATATCAAGATGTATTCGTCAGTATACTAAAAATGAATCAAGTAATGACTTTGCAACTTGAAGAAACTTATCAACCACATTTTGTGCAGGGTCTTCGAAATTTATTTTTCAGTTTTCTTTTTATTTTGCAGACAACAGTTGCTATGCCCTGCATGAT